CTCATAACGCAAGCTTACGAAAGGTCATAAATTTCTCGTTTCAAATTCAATTTACTTGGATAGTTCACACATTATTACAAGTATTTACCATACATTCTTAAAATCGTTAACCCCTTCCTCTAAATCACAGCATCCTTCTAAATAATGCTTGAATTAATACTAAAACTACCGGACGGAACAAATTGACCCACTTCAGAATGTTTATCTTGCAAGTATTTCAATTCTGAAGGCGTTTTCGCGAAAGATTTTCAACTTGTGGATCTAAAAAAATCCATTGTTCTAATTTTCATAGAAGATTGGACATAAATCACTCTAACATCTCCGTAATGTTAGTGTTAAGAACATCCTTAAAAAGAGACACGAATGTTATATCACTTTAAATCATCAAATTCTTACTGTAAATCACGATCGGAGCGTAAATCTTCTAAATACAGTCGAACCTGTTTTTGTGCGGTCCTTTTCTATGCGATTTCTTTTTCGTGCGATTTATTTTGTGCGATTTATTTTGTGCGGTATATGAATTCCAACGGTATTGTCGTTTTCCAAGTGATGAAAGCGACTATGAACCAGTTCATCGCAAGAAGATGCGCGTTTCGGACTACGACGAGTAGCAGTGAATTATATGCGTTGTAAAAATTCCTCCATGAGAAATTAAATTTTTCTAAAATGATTCCATATGTAATTTAATTCTTTATTTTGTTTGAAAGCACTTTCTCACTATTTCGTCAATTTCTGAACATCTCTATCTACCGCGGAAAAACAGGTTTGACTAATGTTTCAATTCAAGTGAAACCAGAAAGACTCAGGGAATCTTAAGTCGCAGAAAAAGAGTGCATCCAATCGGTACAGCAATTATTTTATGCCAGCGAGAAGCGATTCCCCAAAGGACTCATTAGACCTCGAGACGTCGCTTGCTAAATTCCCGTAAGACGCCTAGCGAGCCAGCAATCTCGGGGAACACAGGAGAGTAAGATACGTCGAAGGCTGAAGAAAAGATTATTGGGAGAATTACGAACCGTGCTAACGAGACGTTGCATTAACGTTACAAACTCTCCCCGAAGGACGCCGGCCCACGCGCATCTCGCAACAATGGGGCGGATTCCCGCGGAAAAAGCGCGGTGGAAAATAGCGAGGACGAGCCGCGGAGCAATTCCACGAGCCATTACTCGAATCGTCGGTCTCCATTGTCTTCGGGGAAACAGCGACGACGGAGGAAGCTCGTAGACAGGTTTGACAAACTGACCCTCAAGGAGAATTCAGCTGACAGACGATATTATAATCGCCTTTTCCTACGGAGAGTCCGCCAAAGAAACGGAGAAGGTCGTCCGTGAAGTATAATTGCAGAAAAATTCGTGCTCCGGAAAATTGTTCTTGGAGTATCATTGTTCCTCCGGCACGAAACGTTACAGAATGGCGCAGTTGTTCGCTAGCTTTGGAACTACTTTTGGTAAAACAGGTCGACTCGATTGCCAGTTAAAACGTTACCATCTAAAACGCAGCGTAAGGATCTTTCGATACATCGATTGTTTAATTTTCTATGAACACTTGAAGCTAATTTTTTAGGGTAAAAACAAATCGCACCTCAAACGCTCGCTGTTTCTGTAATGATTAAAATTTCGAAAGATCTGTGGGCTACATTTTAGATAATATACTTCTGTTTGTAAATCCACAATTTTTCGGATGTAACCGCCATTTTGTATGTTTTTGGCTTAGGAGAAATATAAAGCAAGAGGTTATAGGTAAATACCCAGGAGAAATTTTCACTTAATAGTTACTAACGCTAGATTTACGGAACGAGTCAATTTTACTTACAATGAATTTTATAAACATTATTTTGATTGGTGCAGTTACGCGAATGTGTATCATAATTGTCTATTCTCGGACCTTTAACCCTTTGCACTCGGAAGCTTTTCACTAGAAACATTCGACACTTTCCGGTGAGACAAAGACGACACTCTGAAACGAACTAATGAGGGAACATACGTAAATTACATTGCACACTGGTACCGAGAAATCTCGTTTTTATATAATGACACTTAGCTATGTAACTTTGCTAATTATAATAGCATTCAGAAAGATATTAAATTTGATTAGAATTGTTTATCTATTTAAAATATATTACATTAAAATATTTGAGTTTTTCAATATATAGTGATATAAATTGATCGCAATGAAAATCGGCGTCAGTGCAATTCAGTTTTCTGAAAATTAGCCAGTACGCAATGTTAAGAAACAAAGCTATTTTACATAAATATTTCACGGCTTGATGCATATATAAAACTTAATATTATATACGAGACTTTGTATATTTGTTATATCAAATCAAATGGTGACCGAGCGTCACCTCTCGAGTGCAAAGGGTTAATTTCCGAAACCTAAATAAACGAATATCAATTTCACCGAGGATTAGAACAAAGTACACAATAAATATTCGTAAATCTAGCGTTAAGAAAATATTCGTAAAGTTTATCTATATTTCGGAGGTATCTCGGTGGTGTCCCTCCCTTAACTCAGTTTAAAGCGGTCAAAGGGAACCGACCGGGATGAATGCGGGGCCCCGTACAAAAGAACAAGCTGAACAGCGATAAACCATGGAGAAATTAATTCGGTTAACCGACAATCTGACCGTGAATTACGCCGGGACGTCTTCCCAATTACAAAAGCCGGCTGAGTTCTCGGAAGGGACTGAAAATCCGCGGGACAATCGGGAACAGTTCTCGGCCGGGTCGCTTGATGAAACGACAGAGACAGTGATTGAGCGACCGAAATAGATCTTAATCCGCTTAATTTTCGTGAGAATATACAAAACTCTCTTCTCGGCCCGCCTTAAATGACATTCTACGAAGAGACAATTGTTTTGTGAAAGTATCACCGAGAAAAGTTCGTGACGGTTCTCAACCACTTGCGCTGGAAATGCCACGCACGTCGAGACGTTTCCATCTTAATATTCTCAATGATGTCTTTCGGACATTGATAATCTTTGCATTACGCCTATTAGATTACTTCGAGATGTATCATTCTATACAGAATGATTAACAAACAAAATAAGTGTACTTATCAGTGTAAGATAGGTAAAAACAAAATTCATCGCAGGAGAGTTTGTCAAATTTCTGAATTCATTTCCAACGCAAGTGGTTGACAACTACCGAGCAGTTACGCCTTTGCACTCGGAAATTTCTCACTAGAAATATTTAACATTTTTTGACAGGACAAAGATATTCTTTGAAACTAACTGGAAGGGAAATCAGAAGTGCACTGAGGAACAAAACTATTTTATTCCAATATTAAATATTAAATGTTATAGTTTTACTGCGTCAGATCAAGTAGTGACTGAGGGTCACCTCCCGAGTGCAAAGGGTTAAACTGACGCTTCGAAATTCGTCTAGAAAAACTCCAAGAGTGGATGTATTGAAATTATAATTAATTTGAAATTTAGTTTGCGCGTTGTTAAACCAATTTCTTTAATAATTCCTTAGAGAATCTTTTTAATAATTGCAAAGATAGGAAATCAGGGGTAATTTTGACCTGTTTGGTAGTTTTAGTGTTAAATCGAAGTTTAATTTGATGTGATTTGATATCAATAATATAAATACTGTTGGTAATACCAATTTTGTTCGTTGAACCAGTGGAATACTGATTGAAATCGGACAAAAATTCATTGTTAATAAGAAAACGAACTTTATATGAGAAAAATAATTTACTTTCCGTGTTTCTTTCCAGTAAGTTTCAAGATTCTTTGTTGTATCCAATTTTAAGAATGCTAATGCGAAATGGAACGATCGTATCATGCAAATATGCAGGATCTCTCGGTGACCGTTTTATTTATTTCGGAACACTTTAAGCGATATAAAATGTGAAAGTATAATTCTCCTGTGTTATCGTTTGTGAGGATAAATATAGAAATTTTTGTCTTCGGAAGATGTTTACGAGTTTCGAAGCCATTATTTTCTACGTGAATCGAGAAGTTTCGAGTAAACAATGTTTTCGTAATATTTCAGGTGTTAGTCTTATAACGAAACAGCCCAAAAATTTCAACGCTGAAACCAATCCCACGCTTAATGCACCAACAAAGATAACACTTTCAAAACTAAATTTACAAGTAGAAAAATCCACGTATGAGACAATGAATTAATTTACACCCTTCGCTGCAATGTTCAGATATATCCGAATAGATACATTTCCTTTTAGTATTTTATAATAGGTTATACACCCATGTGTATCAATATAATACACACAAAATACTAAAAACACTAACTTTCAATTTTTTATGAATTTATCGCACATTTCGAATAAAAACTTGTAATCTATCAATTAACCGTTTGCGAACGAAGATTCTTCGAAATACACGAAACCTTCAGCACATGACGCTAAACAATACATCAGTTACTTAAACAATAGAAAAAAATGAAATTACGTGATCTCTCGCTGTTTGCAATTAAATTATTTCTTTGCAACTCAGCGTTCCAAATATGAGGATTTCGATATTCCTCAAAGGGATAACCCTTTGCACTCCGTAGGCGCCTCTCAGTCGCCAATTAACAATAGAACTACCATGCCAGTCAAAATGACTGATTTCGGTTTCCTTGTTTCGCAATTATTGATACCTTAAAAACATTGATTATTCTATAGAATAGAAATGATTTCGAAAATACACATTTTCGCTTCAATACTATAATGAGTATTCGAATAAAATAATCTATCGTTACAATTTTATATAGGGTTCACATATCAATCGTATTAAATGCTCGGTAGTTCTAGTGTTAATATCACAGCAGAATTATAAAGATTAATATTCAATACTAATCTTTGTGCAACGTATCCGTATGTGGCATATTGAAAGAAATCAGTTTCGTTCAATTTATGTGTGATTCCTCCGTCGAGTCAGTTTGAAAGAATGTCGTTGGTATCTTCTTAGAAAATGTTGAGTAGTTCTAACGAGAAACTTGTGGAGTGCAAAGGGTTAATAAAGGAGCGAATGAAAGTGATGATAATTGACTCACAGATGCAGCAAGCGGCGAGTATCCTAGTCGCTTCGTCGGGCGGCGAGCAATCGGGGAACACCGGCTTCAGAACGTACACGCTGAAAGTCAAGGCCACGATGGCCTGGCTGCAAGGCCGCACTATCATGCACTCGACCCATAGTCTGATGAATGCCATGAAGGGTCCGAAGGTCTCCATGATGTACGCGTAATCGGCGCCCGACTTTCTGATCATGCATCCCAGCTCGGCGTAACAGTACGCGCCTACCTATTGTGCGAACAGAAAACAGTGGGAACGTTTTCACAGGCAATTTCATGGAATATTCGCGTGCGCCTTCGACTCGTTCGAAACTAAATTACGACTGCATTGAGTTTTCCATTGAGTCGCTCGTGTTTGATATGGTTCTGATAAAATAAACGTTGCTGGTAGGTGGATCAAAGGAACACGAATGTTGAACAGATAATAAAATAGAGTCTTGCATCAAAGGAATGTAGCAATGATTTTTTGAAGATTAGAAATATTAAACAATTTTGAAGTAGAACTGTTTTCAATTTTGTTGTAGTTCATTATATTTCAAAGAAATGTAGCAATAGTAATTTGTTAAAAATTAGAAATGTTAAAGAATAATTTCGAAGTGAAACTGTTTTCAATTTTGCTGCGGTTCATTATATTTCAAAGAAACGTAGCAATAGTAATTTCTTTAAACAAAAGTACTGGAGAATAATTTAGAAATAACATTGCTTTTAATTCTATTGTATTTAACTATATACCAAATGAACGTAGCAACGCTAATTTGTTTAGAACAGAAATATTCAAAAATAATTCAGAACCATTACTTCTGTCGTGTAATCATATTCCAAATGAATGTAGCAACGGTAATTCTTCTAAATAACACAAAAACTTAAAAATAGTTCAAAAATAAAATTCCCTTCGCTGCAGTCGATTTCAAATGAATTTCACCGGTGGTTCACGAGTCGAGTGTGAATTAACCTGCGGTCAGGACGCCAAAGACCTCGAGAGTTCACTGGTTCAACGAACTCTCCGCGAAGTGGAATGCAATCAATCGAAGAAAGGAAGGGTCGACGTACCGTGGAGAAAATGCCGGAAGCTGTCCACACCAGAAGACTGGCGTTCACGCTTCCCGTGTACTTGAGGACGCCGGTAGGGCTAACGAATATGCCAGAGCCAATAATGGAGCCGACGATAACAGTGATGCCGTTCAAAAGGGACATCTTCGCCTCCAGCTTGATTTCATCGTTCCCACCCTTATCGGCGGCCGGGACCGGGTCGTACGGCCCTTTCTCGCCATCTTTGATGCTTCCCGACTTCGACATCCTCTCTGGAACAAATCCAATTAAAAACTTTGTTAACTCAATTCACAATTTCACAAGCGACGATTTTTATTGAATTTCTCTGGCAGTCTTGAGCTACTGAGTGTACAAAATAAATTATAAACACGAAGTTCTCGTTTGTAAGATAAATCGATTTGAAATAATAAAAGGTAAATTTCAATGTAGAAATTCTCTATTATAATTTCATTTAGAACAATTCTTCGCTGAAATGAATTTTAATCGATCTCCCTTTATTTTTTCTAAAGTAAATCTAATGTAATCTTAAGAGTACTTCTACTTGCACACAAATTCTCGTTCACTTCTCCGAACAATTTAATCTACTTTATACACTGCTCTTGTTCAACATAACCAATGCATTCTCCTCGCAGCCAGTTGAATCTACAATGTGTTTCTCAAGTCTGAATTATTTATAAAGAACGAGTTTCATTCCCGCGTTTTCCGTTTGCCTCCGATCGACCTATCGGAATCGGATTCGTCCCGATAACACCACCTGTTGATCAGTTCCGGGCCACGTAAAAGTACGCTGTCCGCGTGGAACGGTGGATCCGAGGCGTTCGGTCACGTGGTTCATTATATAAAAAGCGTCGCCATTACGGTGCACGCTCGGCGGAGTTTTCTCTTATCGGTGGTACAGTTTTCCGGGCCATCCGGGGGAATTCCCTCGAGGGAGTTCACGTCGTACCTTTGAATAATGTATCCCGCGCGAAGCGAGCCACCGGTCGCTGAATCACCAGGCTTTTACTTCGTAACGGAGTGGGACGATTCGTCTTCGGAATTTCCGCGGAGATACAGGGGCAACTGGATGGAGATGAAACGCGCGGAGGAAGGTAAAGAAATAAGTCGCGATTCTGCGAGACGTTGTGATTGGAAATTGACAAATGTAAACGATGAATCGTTGAATTTGAAGATGAAGTGCAGTGAATTTGAAGATGATGTGGAATGAATTTGAAGACGATGTGGAGTAAATTTGAAAATGATGTGGAGTAAATTTGAAGATGATGTGCAGTAAATTTGAAAATGATGTGGAATGAATTTGAAAATGATGTGGAATGAATTTGAAGATGAAGTGGAGTGAATTTGAAAATGAAATGGAATGAATTTGAAAATGAAATGGAGTGAATTTGAAAATGAAATGGAATGAATTTGAAAATGAAATGGAATGAATCTGAAATGAAAATATTCAGTGATTTTTCGAGTTATCAGAGAGCCGTTCGTCTCGACAAAGAAGATTCGACGACAGGAAAATTTTATTTTAACGAAAATTTGGAACTTTTAATAGAAGTGTTAGTAACTTTTGATTGCTTATTCTATGTCCACGTTTATTCAAAAGGTTATCGATTAATAATAGAGAAGTAATATTTAATTTATAGCAAAGAAAAATAAATAATACTTAGACTTATCAAATGCAGTTTAACATTTTGAACACGACATTGCATGTTAAGAGATTAAGAGCCACTTGAAATCGCGAGGACAAATATTTAATCGGGAAACTGCACTTTTCTATGTAAATACGAGTAAGTACACTCGTTTGACAACTATCAATAAATATATGCTACACCCTGCTACCCCACTGACACGAATAAACGATAACGAGCGTCGTTGCGCGATAACGAACGTCCTTCGTTCGGGTCTGTTGAATCGATAGTCGTCATTTCCGGGTGGTAAGTCATGTGTTTACCGAAATAGGGAAGATAAATCCGAGGTTTCACCAGAAATCCATGGAATTTCGTCAGTGTTTACACCGTTGCTTCCGGAGGCATTGTTAATCGACGGCCAATTGCATGCTGCACAGACAACTTATCTTCGAGGAAAAAAACCAACGTGGTCTCATTGCAATAATATTTCATGACGATTGATTTTTCATCGTTAATATGCAGTAGGTGGACTTAACTCCATGAAAACATCGTCGAAAGATAGAAATGGAAATTGGCAAAGTGAATAAAAATAGAGGAATAAATAAAAGTAATAAATAATTAACAAAGCATCACAGATTTATATACGTAGAGGAAGAAAAACTTTTAATCAATATTCAATGTTAAGATTGAAAATAAATTCAAAGCTCAATAAATTCAAAAATAAAATTCCTGTCCTAAAGAATCATCAAAAACTAAACTCCATGAAAAATCGGAATAAATTATTAAAAAAAGAATCATTACACGCCCAAATATAACCGAAATGAAGATTCAAAAGAACATCATTTCGCCTATAAAATCAACCCTAAAATAAAATTCAATCTTCTCCCAGAAGAAAACCGAATTGCCTATTCGCGTCTGTCCATCGCTCGCTGGTTCTACTTAAACCACGCGCGACACCGACATTTCCAACCACAATAAAAATTCAACGACCTCGAACGTTGCACATTCACCTCACCTTCGCATCTAGAACTCCTCAACTTCCGGTACACGAAATATACACAAAATCTTCTTTACAAAACAAATACGATGAAACATACGCACACGAGGGACTCCGTCGAGGACACTAAATCTACGTTGATCATCGAGATGACGCAATCTTAGTTTACAAGGTGTCAGTGATCCTTCGTATGCCTCGATCGAAGATCCACGACGAGTCCTTCGAGATCATCGAAGCACGATAAATCGGTTAACGCGTTTCTAATCGAAAAAGGGATTGCTGATAGAGGAACTTTGACTTTCGTGGATCGATCGCGTTGATCGTGGCATTCGATTGTGCCGCTCCCCTCTACACGGTGATCAGCCGCGAAGCGATCGGCCAATCGACGCCGCGAACGTCGGCACACACCTTTCTATCACCTGGCGAACTTGTTCGAAGGTGACAAACCAGTTCTTCAATCGGTGGCCCGGCCGACACTGTGATCGCCTCAACCTTTTATTTCGCAGATTCCGCGAATTCGCTAATTGCTCGGCTCCCGCTCAATCCGCGCGGCGTGCCGAACAGAGAACGAGCCACGGACACGTGGACACTGATCGTGCGAGTTTGGGACACGGGATTCGATAGTTGAACTTTCCCTTTCTTCCGGGCACCTCTGTTTGGGGGATCACACCGCGGATTAACCTTCGGCGTTCGGAGATGTTTACGGATTACTCACCGGCAGGGTCACCCTAACCAATTGCAGCTTTTCGAACACTTAACACGTTCAGTGCCACGTGTACCACATGTGGTGCACGTTAATTTTTGTAACAAAATATTTTTAAGGGACACATGGTCAAGAATAGCTGTATACGTTACAAAGCACCGAAAACATTATTAAACTTAATATTTTATTTAAAAGATCAATATAGTTCATAAGCAAAATATGACCGAAATTTCCGTGGCACGGAACGTGTTAAGGGAATAAGAATTTATTTACTCTTTTTCGAGACAGGAACATTAAATGTAACCTTTCGTACTTCGGAAATATTTCACTGGAAATACTCGACGATTTATGAGGTGCAGACATTTCCAGAAATTGACGAGAAATCTATAAATTGAGGAACAAAGGTATTTTATTTCAATATTTCGGTAAATGTCAGTTGCAGTTCATTAGAAAATATTGAGTATTTTCAGTGAAGAACTTGCAAAGGGAGTGCAAAGGGTTAAGGATCTAAGTCACGTGCAATGGTATTGCTATTAGTCAATGTAATGCTTCTGAATAATCCTTAAAATCTAAATTCTACGATGAAGAAATTTTGAATGGAAAGCAAGAGTTATGAACGCGAAATCCTACGCAAAAGTACAATCACAACGCGCGCGTGTTCTAGCGCGTTGTCACATCAACACGCCGTAAATATTTCACTTTAATTCCCTAGTCGACGAACGGTAGACGCGCCGAGCGTCAATCGTTGTGCGACCACGAGAGAAAATGTTGATCGATGTGTCGTATCAACAACTCGCATACGGCGTCGATGGCGCGGTAAAAAGGAAAGGAAAGTAAAAAATCAAAAATACGTAAGAAATTTCGGGGAATCACCGATAAACGGATGCAATGATATCGATTCTGCGCTGACCGCAACACAGAAATCTCATTGTTTACGTCATTTCACGGGCTACTGCCTGTAATCATTGAAATTCTAACAGATAACTCGTTGAGCGTGAAGAGAAATCGGGAAAGAACGGTGTGTTCTTATTTTGATAAGAGAAGACAATTAATTCTGTCTTATACAAATTATGTTGCAAATCAATTTCAGTATTCAAAGAAAAGTTTTGTTGTTTATAAATAGATTTTGTTAATGTAAAAGTCGCGTAAAGGTGCAATTTTGAAATTAAAAATAATCTTGAATTGTGTCGTAAGTTTTCGTAGCATTAATTTTTGAAATATGACTTATCTTTTCTCAGACACTTTCAATATTAAAACATAGAATCTTTCTCGAAGTAGTAAATAATTAACTAATTCATTAAATGATCATATTGTACAATGCAAGGTTCTGAGGCCCATTGGATCCGACGTATTGGAAATGTTTCCGTTGTCATCGAGGAACAGATAATTTAACAAACATTTACAAACAAATAACGTTTAGTCAGAGAGACGAAATTTGTAAATGGTTATTAATCAGTGTACGACCAACGGAACACGTAAATACAGAGTCATCATAAATCATTGTATAATTTGTCTGACCCTCGCGGGCCAACGATAAAACTGAATCGTCGGATTGATAAGGAGCTATTAAATTCAATTGCTTTCATTTACTTGTAGTCGTTGAGGTGCACGTATCGAACAAAGCACTAATCACTCCGCATCGTTAGCCACATTCTCTTATCGCTCTTCCTCAAGTTAATCTGTTCACCTGATACCTTCTTAATATTCATTATATAAGAACCGCTAATCCTGACTTAACGTTGATCGCAACCGATGCGCGTATGTAAACACCGTGAAATGAGAAGATGTCACTGATAACGATGATACCACGATTTAAAAATAGTCTGTCTACGTTTATATTTAACTCAATTGTTTCGCGACGAAATTTCGGTGATCGGCGGATCGTTTATTTCTTAACTATCTAGTGTTAGTGGTAGATCGATTGGTTCTATCAGTTGTGAAATAATTAATATTAAATTGAATTCGATCTGCGAAATACGAGATATTTTTATACAGAGGAATATTTACTTGATTGGTAACTGTTTCGCCTTCAGCTTATATAAAGATGAAATCAAATTCAGACATCGAAGTATATAAATACATGTATCTGTAAATATCCTTATTAATTTTCCCAGGAAAAACGTTGCCAATTTATATCAGACTAAATATAAATGTTTCTCCAACTGATGTTTCATTAATATTGCTGACGTCAGCTGGAGGAACGTGTACATTGAATTTAATGCAAGACTGAATGTTTTTCTTCGAAAAATTCAGCGGGACATTTATAAATTAATAAACACGCGAACTCTGCAATTTTGAAATAAGTTCGAGCAAAATAACACTAACTTCACATTGCCCTGTTATCAGGACACTGAAAACGTCAACGTGACTTCTCAGTAGTAGATTACACAACACCGATTCCATTTCAATTCAACGAAATCCTGTTCCGATCTGGAACAAGAAACTATTCGATTCATCTGTGATCCAACGAAACGACGGTTACGGGAAGCGAATATCCTCGTAATTGATCCAACAACGTAAATGCAGATCCGATCCAACCGAATAAGGGTTGATACAGTAGTTCGCTAAAATATTTCGTAAATCGATGATACTGTAATCTTTGTTTATTAATTTCTGTATTACTTAGTAATTAAATATAATTCTGTTTAGTAATTACTATACTTAACCCTTTGCTCTATGAT